AGCTCCTGGAAGGTAAAGTCCTTCCTGGGTGGATGCTCTCAGGAATGTTTAATATTTTTCCTGCCTTTTGGTTCCTGTGCACATCCCCTTAGTGAACTGAGTGCTTTCTACATCTCTACTTGATATTAGCTAAAATCTTCCCCCATGTCAAGATTCAGCTAATGGCCAATAGATGCAGCCCAGGAACACTAAACGGTTGCACAGCATCTCAGCTCAACTTTACTGCACTCTGGACTTGCTTCCATTCTTCAGGATCCCATTTGAATTTCTTAGTGACTAAACCATTATGCATTCTACAGTGCATGTATTTATATTTTGTCTGTTAAAAAAGTAAGCTGTTAGCTTAATTCTCTTATTGGAGTAGCTTATTCTGATTAGCCTTGTCATTGTTTCGATACTCACATGAAAACCAGGTGAAATTCCAGTTGTAGGGAGAGAGGGAGACAAAGTTGGTCACCTGTAAGTAAATAAAAGTATTCATTGAAACTGGAGAAAAATAAATAAAAAATGTAAAAACTATCCTTAGCCCTAGCAGTCCCATTTCCAGAATTTTATTTTATAGATATACATTGTTGCATTGATATACTATCTATATAAATATAGATAGAATGAAAGTATGCAAAAAATGTTTACCCAAGGATATTTTAATTCATCTTTCTTTTTTGCTAAATATTTCTCTGTAGCTTTCGTATTCTTCTAAGATGCTTTATTATCTATTTATTGTGAAAACATTGGATAAGGTATGCTGTTTGTATAAATAAAAAGAGATATCAAAATGTATGTAGTTATAAATACAAGCATATGCATGTGGACACATTTACAAATATATATGTCCTTATGTGTATATATTTGTGTGTAAGTGTACATAGAAAGATTTTTTTTTTTTTAGGGATTCCCTATCAAAACTGATTACATGTTGTTCTAGACGGGAAGACTGAAGAAAATAGAGGTTTGTGTTGGAGACGTACTTTTATTTATTTATTTTTATTAAAAATATATTTTTATTTATTCCAGAGAGGAAGGGAGGAGAGAGATAGAAACATCAATGATAATGTCCCACATCAGGGATCGGCCCTGGGCATGTGCCTGGACTGGGAATTGAACCATGACTTCCTGGTTCATAGGTCAGCACTCAACCACTGCACTGAGCCATGCTGGCTAGGTGAGATTTACCTTTAAAAATATATTTTTGGCCGAAACCGGTTTGGCTCAGTGGTAGAGTGTCGGTCTGCGGACTGAAAGGTCCAGGGTTCGATTCTGGTCAAGGGCATGTACCTTGGTTGTGGGCATATCCTCAGTAGGGGGTGTGCAGGAGGCAGCTGATTGATGACTCTCTCTCATCGATGTTTCTAACTCTCTCTATCCCTCTCCCTTCCACTCTGTAAAAAATCAATAAAATATATTAAAATATATATATATATATATTTGTATGTATGTATGCATGTTTTAGTTTAGAGCATATAGTTCATTAAAATATCTATATTTGGTAAAATGTATGGCTATACATACCCTGTTTTCCCAAAAATAAGACAGTGTCTTATATTAATTTTTGCTCCCAAAGATGCGCTAGGTCTTATTTTCAGGGAATGTCTTATTTTCCATGAAGAAGAATACGGAACACATTTATTGTTAAATGAAAATAAAGGAAATTTATTACCTGTATACGGTATGGTAATACGGTAGTTGTCAACACAAACCAGACAAACTGTGAATCCTACAGTATCAAGAATTTACTCATTTATTCAATGACAATCATGTCATCATCTTCTGGAACATCATCATAACAATCCAATTCCTGAATTTCTTGGTGAATTTCTGTGACTCCATTTCTTTCAGAATCAGTGGACCAAATCTCTCATGTTTAGCCTGGGGGAGAGGGGCTTATTTTGGGGGGATGCCTTATATCGATATTTCACTCAGAAGGAAACCTGTAAGTAGGTCTTATTTTCGGAGGATGTCTTATCTTCGGGGAAACACAGTACTATTAATGTTGGACTTTTATTAATTCTCACCAGCTGGAAAGAACTGGCTGATGAAGCTGAAGTGTTCATATTATTGTAATAGCCAAACATGCAAAAAATATAACTTAGATTTTGTTTATAGCAAAATTGATTTTTACAAGTTTAGAGGAAAGGTATGATTCCATCCCTAAAACTTCTGAACTTGAAGATAATTCAAAAGAGATGCAGACCTTTAAACTATAAAATTTTGCTTACTATACAATACCAAATGATTACAAAAGTAATTTGAGGGTGGAAACAGGCGTTATCTTGTATAATAGTGTCTTAACATGCAGATCAGTCTAATTGCTTACATTAAAAAATAATGTCTATAATCAGTACTGTTGTTTCAATCTTATGAGGTTTAAAAAAAAAAATTAATGATGCCGAAACCGGTTTGGCTCAGTGGTAGAGCGTCGGTCTGGGGACTGAAAGATCCCGGGTTCGATTCTGGTCAAGGGCATGTACATTGGTTGCGGGCACATCCCCGGTGGGGGGTGTACAGGAGGCAACTGGTCGATGTTTCTCTCTCATCGACGTTTCTATCTCTCTCCCTTCCTCTCTCTAAAAAGTCAATAAAATATATTTTAAAAAAATAAAAAAATATTAATGAAAGATGAAATAGAGAAGGGACTGGAGACCGGGATGTCAGGACACACTGCTGGCTGCTTCCAGAGAGAGAGAACGGAAGAGAGCGAGGGCCGGGGTCCATGGCTTAGGGCACTCAGCACACGCTGATTGGTGGTTTCATGTAAGGCCTATGATTAGGGACCTAGGAATTTAGGAATTGGGGGCTTAGGGTATCTGGCAGGTGCTGATTGGTGGTTCAATGCTCAGGAATGTAGGGCTGCAGGTGGAGTTTACGTCTGTCCATCAATTAATAGGGATTATCTGGGCAAGAAGATTATTGCTTATTTTTTTTCTTTTTCTTTGCATTTCGTTGTATTAAAAAAATAGAATCAAACCCTTTAAGTATTGTATTAGGAAAAAATGTGTATAAAAATATTTAAAAGCTACTTTTAAATATCGACACTTTGTTGAAATAAACTTTTAAAGCTGTACTCTGTTTCCTAATTGAAAAAAATAAATTTATAATTCCATTGGTTGTGTTGGTGCAATCTTCTCTTAAAACTGAGAGGAAGTACGACTTCTCAACTGCAGTTAAATCACCTCTCCATCAAGAACAACTTTCAAGACTAGAGAAAACAGAAACTACTTGAATATTAAGATAGTTGAACAGATTATTCAAGTGTAATTAATTGGTTCTTATTCCTCCTTTTTTCTTTTAAATGAGTTCACATCTCTGGGCCCAAATGATTATATATGAGTTGAAAATATTTATGGAATTTATCCCAGAACTATTGATACCTTTTATGGAAGCCAACTAGGTAAAGCCTGAGAGGAGTGTACAGTATAGGTGAGGAAATGATAGATTAGCTTTTGAGAGGGCACATTGATTCTGTTAACTAAATATCAATGACTGATAGAAGTTCCAGGAAAACTATAGAAGCTTGACACTTGACCCTCCACCATCAGGCTTTAAAATAAAATACCTTTTCAATCTTACCTACCACTAGGCTTTTGTTGTTTATCATCCACTCCAGCTAGTTACACTAAAGTCGTTCACTTTCTTCAAGTCTTTTCCAACTCCATTCTCTGGCTCAAACTTCCTTTCACAAGGCATTCCCTTCATCAAATGCTGTCTGTAGAAACCGCACTCTTCAAGGTTTACCTCAGAGGACTCTTAAATGCACCAAGCTAGAATTAATTTCTCTCTTCTTTGCTCCTCTTGTACTTCATGGTTGAATACAGAATGTTCTGCTTACCTAGCTATATACAAGTCATTGAGTCACAAAAGTCGAAAATGGAAGGAAGGGCTCTGAGACAATCCTGTTTCCATCACTTCTGCAAGCTTTAAGGGAAGGAGTCAAGTCATATCTGGCTTTTAAATCTCTGATTTGCTTCCTTCCTTTATTATGTAATGAGTGCCGAATTTAATGATTGGGAGGGGCACCCCACCAGGATCCTGGAGAAATACAACCTTTAAGTGTTATATTTCAGTTCTAATGTGAGTTCATGTGTAAAAGTTTCCTGGAGTATTATACCTTGTGGTACAGTTTATAGGCCAAGTTAATCCTTTATGACTCCAGAGCCTGTATATAAAGTTCTAAGTTTCTAGAGACATTATAAATGACCATGTGGCTATAGACATTTTTGAGCAGATTATCAGATGGCATTTTGTTTTCATTTTTTTTTGGTCAATAAATCATCTAGCCAAAGCTATTTCACGTTTACTTGCTTCTCATCTCCATGTAAATATAAAAAAGAGTAAGTCTGGCATTTTTCTAGAATGGTGTAGGTGTATTTCTAGGAGGAGCATGCCAATTACAAAAAACTGAAAACATACTGTTTCGCAAACTAGAAATTCCTACTGTTGACTTCTAATCATTACAGCTGACTTTAAGTTATTTTACAATTTATTCCAGTAGGAGTCAGTGCTGAGTTGAGGAAAAATTCTTTTTCCAAGTGTAAAATTTTAATTAAAAGAAATGATTAAAAATTATGAAGAGTTCAGGAATGAAAAGACGATAATACTTATTTTTCCTCGGGGGTTCAAAAGAGACGGGGTCTCGCTATGTTGCCCAGGCTGGAGTGCAGTGGCTATTCACAGGCGCGATCCCACTACTGATCAGCACGGGAGCTTTGACCTGCTCCGTTTCCGACCTGGGCCGGTTCACCCCTCCTTAGGCAACCTGGTGGCCCCCCGCTCCCGGGAGGTCACCATATTGATGCCGAACTTAGTGCGGACACCCGATCGGCATAGCGCACTACAGCCCAGAACTCCTGGACTCAAGCGATCCTCCAGCCTCAGCCTCCCGAGTAGCTGGGACTACAGGCGCGCGCCACCGCGCCCGGCGCTGGCGAGCGGCGCGAGGCGCCCTTAGAGGCTGAGGCCGGTGACGTCATCAGCTGTGTGGGCCCAGACGTCGCGCATGCGTTGTGTGTCAGCACTGCATTCTGGGAGACTGTTCCCAAAATATCAAGAACGCATGCGTGCGCTGCTTCTTTCCTTTTGCCTCGTTGCTACCGAGTGAGCAAGATGGGTCACCAGCAACTCTACTGGAGCCACCCGAGGAAATTCGGCCAGGGCTCTCGCTCTTGGTAAGGAAGGGAGTGTGGCTTTAGAGGAGGTTTGTTCTGGGGCGTTGCCTGAAGTCGAGCGTAGAACTCGCAGGCGGCGCGTTGCGGGGGGGCCGCTCGGAGCCGGGCCGCCGCCATTTCAGGCCTCGGGAAGGCGGCGGTGCGGATGGTGGCCTCCCGAGCGCGGGATCCTTTCTTTTCTGCGACCTGTCGTAATGCCGTCTCTCCCTACAGCCGCGTCTGCTCCAACCGCCACGGCCTGATCCGGAAGTACGGCCTCAACATGTGCCGCCAGTGTTTCCGCCAGTACGCGAAGGACATCGGCTTCATTAAGGTTCGGCCGCCGCCATGCCCGCCTGCGCCGGCGGCCGGGGTGCGGCGCTCCTGGGAGCCGCCGGCGGGCCGCGCTCCTCCGCTTTACTGGAACGGCGGCGCGCGGCGCTGCAGCGTTCCGGCAGTCAGGCTGAGAGAATAGGGAGGGCGAGGCCCTCGCTCCAGTTTACCCGGCTCTGCCAGTTCTAGGTGCCATGTATTATGCTGGATAAAGATCACTTCAGAGCCTTGTAGATATCTTTAATTGTGCCTAGACACAGATATGTGTGTTGACTACTGCCCTGAAATGTTGAATGGGATTCTATACTGCAGTGAGCTTGAGATTGGAGCCGGATGAGAACTTAAAGCTCAGTTTCTGCCTGTGAAAATAAACTGGGCGCTACAAATATAAATGTACTATATGTGAAGCTTAATTCCTGATAATCAGTTACTGGGAGTTGATTTTTTTTATATGAAAACTAGTCACATGGGAAGTATAAATTGTTAATGTGAGATCTTGGTGGCAGACATAAAATCTTAGACTTTTACCCTTGACTACTATGTGCTTGGTGTTAATGTGGAATTTCAAATAAATGAGATAATGTACTCAGGCCTGCTCCCTAGCTTATAGTAGTATTTCTCTAGTGGTAAGTTTAGGGAAGTGAGAATACCAATTCTGAAATTCACAGTTATAAGTGATTGTTGAGGTTTGTGGAACAGCTTGTAGTAGGCATCTATCTATAATAATAATCTATAATAATAAAAGTGTAATATCCCATTAGACTGGAAGAAGCTGGGGCCGCCAGGGAAGCCCTATCCCAAGTGCCAGTGTCAGTAACCAGGGGAAGGAGGGCCTACTCTTGCATGTATTTCGAGCATCGGGCATCTAGTTCTAATATAATGAGTCCACTTTTGTGAGGAAAGTGGATACTTAAAAAAGCGTTTGAATTAATTTTCTGTCTGCTTTTTTTTCTCTTTCAGTTGGACTAAGGGAACTTCTGTGAATGGGTCATTGAAGACATCTCTCTACCTTACGACAATGCTATCTCTTTGTACATAAAATAAAAAAAACAACACTTCAAATATAAGTGTTTTTTTGTGTGTGAATGGAACAGTCACGGGATTGTAAAAATCTATCACTAAAATTTGCTCTGAGCATTTGCCCAGAGGTGGCAGTTCTAGTTTCTGGGATAATGCAGCAAAGCTTGTAAATTTCTCAAACAGCTGTATGCAAAAGGGAGCAATGGTTAGAGATGTCAGGTGTGTGATTGCTGAGAAAAGCAGTAATTTCTGAGCATGTGAGGGTGAGGGGTGAGGGTGGGGATGGTATAAAATTGAATTACAGTCTTAATCCATTTGCTGAGAAGCCATGCCTGTGTAGGCTAGGAACTTAACAGGCAGAGGTAAGTATAGGTCCCATGGGGGAGAGAATTCATAGAGCTTTTTAGGAACAGCAAAGTTGTGATTGGAGCAGAGAGAAGCTGGAGTGTAGGATATGGTTAGGTTATTTGAGATAATTCCATTTGGTGAACAGATTAGAATGCTATGAACTTTTTTTAAGGTTCACTAGGTTTTTGTGGGCAAAATAGATTTTAGTGGGATAAGGGTGGAAGCAGGGAAACAAAACTTGGGATAGTTTAGGCCAGCGTTTTTCAACTGCTGTTTCGCGGCACACTAGTGTGCCGTAGGTGCAGACAAGACAAGAATTTTATAATTCTTCACTATTAATATTTCATAATAAAGTAATTATAAAATACTTTGTGTTTATTTGATTCCTATTCAAGAGAATTACTTTATATATAGTCAATATAGGCACAGAGTTAAATTTTTTAACATTTTCTAATGGTGGTGTGCCTCGTGATTTTTTTCATGAAACAAGTGTGCCTTTGCCCAAAAAAGGTTGAAAAACACTGGTTTAGGCTATTGATCTTGTCTTGGATAAAAGGGGAGTGGTTACAGTAGTCAAGAACAGTGACTTGAGAAGGTGGATGTGGGTGAAACAAAACGGTGGCTCCAAGGGTTTTGGCACCTGAGCACCTGAAAGGCAACAATTGTGATTGAGTTGGGACTGAAAATTGGGTTTTGAGGTAAGGTTAATAGTTCAGTTTGGGGCAATACAAGTTTAAAACTTGAATTGGATATGTGGAGTTCTCAAGTATGTTTGGATATAAATTCCTCTGGAATCTATGGGAGCTTGGGGCTGGAGATGCAACTTTGGTTGTCCTCAGTGTGAGTATCTGGTACTTTGGGATTTCATCCTGTGATTGAGATCTCAGCCCTAAAGTCTAGCGAGTAGATAAATAGAAGGGGATTGTTCCTGAGGCACTCCGAAGAATAGGTGGGATCGCCCTAGCAGGTTTGGCTCTGGATAGAATGTCGATTTGCGGACTGAAAGGTCCCAGGTTCGATTCCAGTCAAGGGCATGTACTTTGGTTGCGGGCACATCCCCAGGAGGGGGTGTGCAGGAGGCGGCTGGTTGATTATTTTCATCCATGTTTCTAACTCTGTCCCTCTGTCTTCTTCTCTGCTAAAAATCAATAAAATATATTAAAAAAAAGAATAGGTGGGATCCAGCAACCTAGGCCAAAGGACCAAAAAATTGGCATATTAGAAGCCAAGTAGAAAGTGATCAAGTCTTAAGTATGCCTTGGGTACAATTTATTAGTGTAACATTTGAAAGGAAGCTGGAATAGGGAATAAATGTCTTAACCAATTACACTTAAACCATTGCAAAAGTTTTGAAAGCCTGGCAACACATTGCTAGTGTGCCTTCTGGGGCTTTTGAAGGTGCTTATGGAATTAGGAATACAGGCCAAAATTTAAGAGCTTCATAGGAAATCCACCTCTGCTCCTTATACTGAGTCCTAAGAAGAGGAAGATCCAGGGTAAGAAGGTGGGAAGAATATTCAGAGAAGAGGCTGAGGATGGAGTAAAGTTTCTGGTATTGGAATGGAGCTGATCTTGCAGGTTGGGTAAGAAGCTGGTCAGCTATGCAAAACAATTGTTAAAAATTGAAAGGTTTACATATCTAGTGATTTAGGTAAATGATCCCAGTTGTGTTTGATTTGAGCATGATTGTTTTGGATGAACTCATTGGTCTAGAATGGCTGTGTAAATGCTGTAAGAATTGTGTGTTACCTGAGGGAATATGTAGAAGGGAAAACCTAGCATGCCCTGGCCTGTGTATGTGTGGTGGTAGTGGGAAGGCAGTCTGTGGTTTTCCATATTTACAAATAGCATGATGCCTTGTATATTAATAGTAGTTTGTTGAGTTGAATTAAATTACCTAAAATGTTCAGTGTTAATGGCAAAATACTGTAGCAACCATTGGAACAGTCTTAGACTTGGGTTCCTTGCCTTGAATGATTAAATTAGGGCTGAATGGTACCTGTTAAAGGACTTGTCCTGTCAAAGATTTTATTTAGCTCATTGGTTAACTAGTAAGATGTTTCATTTCGTTTAAAGAAGAGTTCAAAGCACCACAATATGTGAATTAGGGATGTGGAAATGAGTTTAAAGTACATCTAAATTTGGCTTTTTCAGCAGGGGAGAAAATAAGTTACTATCTGCCAGTCAGAATTTGGGTGTCTGGACAAGAATCATTGTGGGCTCACCCTCCAGGGAGCATGCACTTGCTGTTATCCCTCTCCCCTTTCCCACTGACATATGTCTTCTAAACTCCAAGGGACTCCTCAGCAGGGGAACAAAGAGCAGCGGCTCATCTCATGCTAACTCCCTGAACCTGTCTCCAGGGCCTTTTTCTGGGACTTTCCAGAGAGCCAGCCTAGGTTTGGCTCTCCTGTTGGTTCTAAGCCTTTTCTTGTTCCACTCTTCTGTGTTTTTGCTGCAGTCAGTAAATTATTGCTTGTTTTTCTACTAAAAAAACTCCAAAAACATTTATATACAACTTTTGAAGTTGTAAAATAGCTCACACACAAAGGTTCAGAGTCCCCCACCCACTCCAAGATTGTGCTAGACAAAGCTTTATTTTCCATGAAAGACAGGCAGTAATCTTTTTTTATATTATTTTTAATTAATTTTTTTAAATCAATCTTTATTGTTCACATTATTACAAAGGTTCCTCATTTCTAGCCCCTACACCAGGTTCCCACCCCACCCTCTGCTCCTTCCCCACCCCCCACCTTCCTCATCCATAGGTGCACAGTTCATGTTCAGTCTCTTCTCGCATCCGCCACTCCCCCCCCCCCCCCCCCCCCAGATTGTCAGTCCACTCCCCTCCCGTATCCCCGATTCTACCGCAATCAAAAGTTAATGTTCATCAGGTCCTCCAACCTCCTTGGTTTTTTTTTTTTTTTTTTTTTAATTCCCATATTTTTAAGAATAAATTTTAAAATCCAATAATCCCAAACCTTGTTTTTTCTGCCCTGGGAACTGAGAAGCAAACTTGCCTACATGTAAACTTGCCCTTAGGCTATCAAAAGGCGTAGCCATTCAAATGTAAATGAACACATTGTTTAAAGATAGCTGCTGGTTGGAATTGGACCATCTGTTATGGGTGGGACAGGCCTGTCCTCCCTTTTCTCCATTAAAATTAAGGTGTCAGCTTTAAAACCCCTCCTTGGCAAGAGACCTCAAACTTTCAGAACTTTAAATTTTTCAGGTAGCAAATCAATTACTCAGTATCTTCTCAAATCAACAATACCTTCACATGCCCAAGGATACACTTCACACAAAAGACACCTCCAAATAGATCAACCTCATCCAGACCCCACACAAGACACTCACAGATCAACACCCCAGCGCTACAATAACACATCCAGATCTAAGCCCTCATCACTTGATTCAGCAGACCCTCAAGTTCCCCCAAAAGTTTCCAGCCATGTCTGAGAAGCAGCCCTGGGGCATGGGCAGGCGAGGAGCGAGCTGTTCCGGGCTCGGCTGCTTCCGGGCTTCCGGCCTGGCCTCTGTTGCTCTGGTCTGCTCCACAATCACCTGCTCCGGGCCTGGCTGCTCCCGACCCGACTGCTCTGGGCCTGGCTGCTCCCTACCCGGTTGCTCTAGGCCCGGCTGTTCCGGGCCTGGCCACTCCTGGCCTGGCTGCTGCTGCCCCAGGCCTGGCTGCTCTGGGCCTGGCTGTTGCTGCCCCAGGCCTGGCTGCTTTGGGCCTGGCTGCTGCTGCTCGGCCCTGCTGCCACTGCCCTGGGCCTGGACACTCTGGGTCTGGCCGCCGCTGCTCCAATGTTCTGTCTTTTTTTTTTTTTTTTTTTTTAAACGCATTTATGTTGCAATGTTGGCTGAGTTGAGTTCTGTCTTAATCTTCGATTTTTCAAGACCTTTGTATTCTTTCTTTTTTTTAAAATATATTTTATTGATTTTTAACAGAGAGAAAGGGAGAGAGATAGAGAGCTAGAAACGTCGATGAGAGAGAAACATTGACCAGCTGCCTCTTGCACACCCCCTACCGGGGATGTGCCCGCAACCAATGTACATGCCCTTGACCGGAATCGAACCTGGGACCTTTCAGTCCGCAGACCGACGCTCTACCACTGAGCCAAACCGGCTTTGGCTTCTTTTTATTCTTAAGTAATTTTACTATCTTTTGCTATAACTTGGTTTCTTCACATTGAAAACTTCTTCGGTTTCTTCCTCCTTGTCCTAGAAGCTCAGCAGGCTGGCCTGCGACACTCCTTTGTTCTCCGTGGCCTTCTGTGTGGCTTCAGCCTGTTGCCGGGGTTGGCACCACCCAGGAAGCAGCCCCCGGCCTTGGCTCTGTGGCCCGAGATCAGCAGTCGAGGGGCCAGCGGCACCTCCCCCCAAGGGGGCCTGTCACCTGGCTCCTTGCTGGTGCCCAGCTTGCTGGTGCCCAGCAGCAGCTCCCGCTCCTCATCACATTCTTCCCAGACTGGAGCTTTGGTCTCCTTCCTGCTAGGGCAGTCTAGCATCAGAGTCAACATTCTGTCCTCTGCACGCAATGTGCGTGACTCAGGGGGCTCTGCCTTTCGCCGCTCCCCTGGGATTCCGCCTCACAGCTTTGTTTCCCTCTGTTTGAGCCTGGGTCCCCAGGGTCTGGCCTAGAACTGGGGTTCAGCGCTGTAGGTTCTGAGGTTTAGCCCAGTCCGGGG